CCAGAAATCAAAGGCATTTTTGTATACAAACAATGAATCAGCAGAAGCAGAAATCAAGGAAAAGGACTTCCGCCAAGATGGAAAAGTAGGTGGAGGGTCCACCTCGCCTCTGTGCACAACCAAATCTAAGAACAACTATTTTTAACAGCAGTCACAACCAAGCCACACGGAAAAGCGACAATACGGAGTCCAAAGGACAACTAGATACTCGGCTGGACCGGTACGAGGAGCGAGGCCAGAAGCAGAGCAGGTTAGCAAGAAAAAATCCCCGGGGCGGTGCGCGGGGCGCGCAGGCAACCGAGGGCTGATCGCCAGCGAGCTGGCTGCCGGAGCGCACAGGGAATAGGCGCAGTGGGTCGCTCAGTCGCGCGCATTTATGTGCGGAGAAACCAGTGAGAAGGGAAACCCGCGCGGTGCAGCAGGCTCGCAAAATTAGGATCTCGGATAAGCAAACCCGAGGCATTTGAGTGACTGGATGCGCTGGGCTAGCGGAGAGGAACGCCATCGCTCCCTCTCTGACCACGCCCCCACACACAGCGTCACAAACCAGCGACCTAGGTCGCCCCGTCCTGGTAAACAACTAAGGCTTCGCCCCGCTCACTAAACAGCACGAATAAACCAAAAATGGCTCTAGAACAACTCAGAGCCCCAGAACCGATAGACCTAAGTGATGAAGAAATAGCCAGTCTTTCAGAGGCACAGTTCAAAACACTGGTTATAAAGATCCTTACAGAACTGGTGGATTTTAGTCACAAATTAGAGAAACATATGGAAGCTAAATTAATTGAAATGAATGCTGATACAAAAGATACCAATAGTGATGGAAAGAAAATTGGGACTCAAATCAAGGGAGAGGACCAGACAGAAGAAAAAGATGATCAAGCAGAAAGGAATGAAGAAATAAGAATTCAGAAAAATGAGGAGAGGCTTGGGAACCTCCAAGACATCTTTAAACGTTCCAACATCCGAATTATAGGGGTACCAGAAGGGGGAAAGGCACAACCACCAGTTGAAAAATTATTTGAACAAATAATAAAGGAGAATTTCCCCAAGATGGCAAAGGAAATAGACTTCCGAGAGATCCAGGAAGCTCGGAGAGTCCCGAGGAAGTTGGACCCGGGAAGGAACACACCAAGGCACATCATAATTACATTAGCCAAGATTAAAATGAAGGAGAGAATCCTAGAAGCAGCAAGAGATAAGGGGAAAGTCACCTACAAAGGAGTTCCCATCAGACTGTCAGCTGATTTCTCAAAAGAGACCTTACAGGCAAGAAGGGGCTGGGCAGAGGTATTCCAAGTCATGAAAACCAAAGACCTACAACCAAGATTGCTCTACCCAGCAAAACTTTCATTTAGAATGGAAGGACAGATAAAGTGCTTCTCAGATAAGGTCAAATTCAAGGAGTTCATCATCACCAAGCCCTTACTATATGAAATGTTAAAGGGACTTACCTAAGAAAAAGAAGATAAAAAAGATGAACAGTGAAAGGACAGCAAACTCACAGTTATTAAGAACCACACCTAAAACAAAAGCAAACTAAGAGGATAGCTAGATCAGGAGCAGAACCATAGAAATGAAGATCACAGGGAGGGTTAGCAACAGGGGAGTGGGAGGGGGGGAAGGGGGGAGAAGGTACAGAAAATAAGTAGTATAGACAGTAGATAGAAAATAGATAGGGGGGAGGGTAAGAATAGTAGGGGAAATACAGAATCTAAAGAATTTGAGACACATGTTCATGAACTAAAGGGGGAAATGGTGGGGGAGGGGTATGCAGGGTGGAGGGGAAGGGAGGGGGGAATAGAGCAAATGTTATGGCATAATCAATAAAAAATAAATTAAAAAAAAAGGAAAAAAAAAAGAAATCAAGGAAAAAATCCCATGCGATATAGCAAAAAGAAAAATAAAATATCTGGTAATAAACCTAACCAAGGAGGTAAAAGACCTGTATGCAGAAAACTACACAGCCCTGAAGAAAGAAATCAGGGAAGACACAAACAAATGGAAACATATACCTTGTTCATGGATTGGAAGAATTAACATCATCAAAATGTCCATACTACCCAAAGCAATATACAGATTCAATGCAATACCTATTAAAGTACCAATGGCGTATTTCACAGACATAGAACAAACACTTCAAAAATTTATATGGAACCATAAACGAGCCCGAATAGCAGCTGCTCTTTTGAGAAGAAGAAGAAAGTAGGAGGGATCACAATACCTGATATCAAACTGCATTACAAAGCCACTGTAATCAAAACAGCCTGGTACTGGCATAAAAACAGGCACATAGACCAATGGAACAGAACACAGAGCCCAGAAATCAACCCAACCCTCTACAGTCAATTAATATTTGACAAAGGGGGCAGTAACATAAAATGGAGTAAAGATAGCCTCTTCAGCAAATGGTGTTGGGAGAACTGGACAGCTACGTGCAAAAAAATGAAACTTGAGCACCAACTTACACCATACACCAAAATAAATTCAAGGTGGATAAAAGACTTAAATATAAGCCATGACACCATTAAAGTCCTAGAGGAGAACATTGGCAAGAAAATCTCAGATATTCCACGCAGCAACATTTTTACGGATATGTCCCCTAGAGCAAGGAATATAAAGGAAAGAATAAACAAATGGCATCTCATCAAAATAAAAAGCTTCTGCATGGCTAAAGAAAACAGTATTAAATTAAAAAGACAACCAACTGTATGGGAAAACATATTTGCCAATGACACCTCAGACAAAGGTTTAATCTCCAAAATATACAAAGAACTTACACGACTCCACTCTAGGAAGACATCAAACCCAATTAAAAAATGGGAAAAGGACTTGAACAAACACTTCTCTAAAGAGGACATACAGAATATCCAGAGACACATGAAGAGATGCTCAATATCGTTAGCTATCAGAAAGATGCAAATTAAAACCACAATGAGATACCACTTTACACCAGTCAGGATGGGTATAATAGACAAAGCAACAAACAACAAATGTTGGAGAGGTTGTGGGGAAAAGGGGACCTTAGTTCACTGTTGGTGGGATTGCAGACTGGTACAACCATTATGGAAAACAGTATGGAATTTTCTCAGAAAAATAAAAATTGACCTGCCTTTTGACCCAGCAATTCCACTGCTAGGATTATACCCCAAGAATCCTAAAAACATCAATTTCAAAGAACCTATGCACCACAATGTTCATAGCAGCACAAGAGTTGGAAGCAACCTAGGTGCCCATCAGTAAACGAATGGATCAAAAAATTGTGGTACATATACACAATGGAATTCTATGCAGCAGAGAGAAAGAAGGAGCTACTACCTTTTGCAACAACGTGGATGGAACTGGAAAGCATTATGCTGAGTGAAATAGGCCAGGCATTGAAGGACAAATACCATATGATCTCACTTTTGACAGGAAGCTAAACAATAAAACAAACAAGCAAACAGAATAAAAACAAAGACACTGAAATAGAGAACAAGTGGGCAGCGACCAGAGGGGAGAGGGAAGGGAATTTAAGGGGAAAAAGGGGGAGGGATTTTGAGGAACAAGTATTAAAGACACAGGGATGAGGACTGGGGGGGGGGAATGGGAGGGAGGGGGGAGACCGGGTGGGGGGTGGGGTGGGATGGGAGAAATAGATTAAAAAATGTACTTGACAAGTAACTAAATAAAATTTAATAAAAAAAAAAGGACAGACAAGAGAAAGAAAAAAGAAAAAAAAAGAAAGAAAATGAAGATGGGCAGTGCAAGTAAACCTTTATTTGTGAGAGCAAAATAATATAATAATCAGAATAGATATTATCTACAACTAGTAAATCAAGAAAGGGTATCGAAAGTATATTACTTAGTGATATCAAAATAAACATCAGAACTAAAAACAGAATTAGGAGAAAGAAGTGGTTCCTTTTGACTGAGACTATTTACTTTAACTTCTTCCATACCATTTGATATTTTTATTCATGTGCACCCATTACTTTGATGAAAATTTTAGAAATTAAAGTTACTTAATGAAGGAACACTTCTGTATGGTTCAACATCCCAAAGCTACATAAAGGATAATGAAGTCTCCACGTCCCCTGCTCCCTCATTCCCACTTCCTCTCTGCCATGGTGTTTCCTTTCATACGTTTTATGTATCTATAAGCAAGTATGCTGGTATGTTCATGTATATATTTCCCTCCATATTCTTACATGAATGATAGCAAACTATATATAATATTCTTTTACTTCACCTTTTTTATTGAACAAATGTTATCTTGGAGATATTTCTGTATTACTATCAAGCTCCCTCACAGTTTTTAATGACTACACATTAATCCATAATTTGGATGCATACTTTAATCATTCTGTACTGACAGACATCTGTTTTTTTCTAGTTCATTGCTATTTCAAGCAATGCTACAATGCTTAATTATAATAAATTAACAATTATTATTAAAAATTTAAGACAGTCTTTGCTTCTGTTCCCCAACTAGATAATAAACTTTGCATTCTCACTGCCTACCATACTGCTTAGCATAGAGTAAATATTAAGATTTTCTAATTTTGGTTGAATTGAATTTAAATGAGGAAACTAACCTATGCAAACATTTGAATGTGATAATATAATACTAAAATCAAGTTTATGGAATAGCAAAGACAGTGTGTCTATACAAATCTATAGTACTCCACATCCTCAGTCTTTGTTTTATAATTCACCCGTAGAAAGGAAAAGTAGCACTGCAACTCAGCTCAGAATAATTGCAAGAAAGGAAATGCAGGACTGGGCTGTGATGATGTAATTGCAATGAAAAGACTGCTTATATGATCCCAGCTCTCAAGGTCCCCAATATCCAAGATGTTAAAAAGATTCTAACTCTTTACAAAGATATTAATGGGTATAAGCAGACTACAGAATTCTTAGTGTCTTACCGGTGAGAGAAATAAAATGAAACAAAACAATCAAGTTCCAGGACTAGAGATTAATGCACCAATACATATATGCATCTCTGTCATACTTACTCAGAGCTCTTCTGGGCCTGAATGGACTGAAAGCAAGTGTAGAGTACCCGACCAGTCTACAAAAAAAAAAAAAAAAACCAAAACAAAAAAAAACAAATACATAAGAAAAAAGGAAGGTCACATAGAGAAGGATTAATTTTGAAAAATGTATAGCAATTCAGTAGACTCTACCCTAAGACTCAAAGGCCACTCTGAAAGTGGAAGGTTAAAAGAGATTACAAACATGGAATATGCCATGAATCAGCTTCCATAAGAGGTATCATGTAACTAACCCAACATGAAATGGCCACAATCAAGTACCTGCTCATGTGACAGCAGAGAACCATTCACAAACCTGAGGACCAAGAAACTGAGAACCAGAGTATTCAAGCTGCTTTGTTGGAAGCTGACAGACTTATTCAATAAGTATTTATAATAACAGCAAATTCAAGACTACAAAACCAAAAGCATTTCATATGAAATATAAAGTTCAAAATACTAAACTTCAGTGTTTGTGGAAAAGTGATTTTGTGAAGAATATTCATTGTTAACACAGATTCTGAGAATCTAACCAAAGTGCTAAAGATAGGACACACTTGATAGTTTTAGCAGAATTCATATCTACAATGTTAAAAAGTAATTTTTTTGTTTCAACTGACACATACCAAATCTCCTAACATGAACATAATTTTAAAAAGAAGTGCTCTAAATAGAGAAAGGCAAGACCAGCCATTGGTCGAGTTGTTTAACATCTCTGAGCTTCAGTTTGCTCATCCATAAAATATGTATAATAATAATCCTTATAGGCTTGTTGTCAGAGTTAGAGCATACTTAGGTAAAAAGCATAATGAGTGTATGCCACACAACAGATGATAAATGGTAGCACCCATTACTATTATTAGCCATCAAAATATATGCAGAATTTGGCCACTTCTCATTGCCTCCACTCCTACCACCCTGATAAAACTTTCTATCATCTCTTTCTAGATTACTGCAATATCCTCCTAACTGCTTTCACATATACCGTGGACTCCATAACCTCCTCCCACCCCATGCTCCCAACCCCACCTCCTGTCCAGTCTATTACTAACACGGTAACCTGAAATATCCCATTAAAATGTAAAATCACTCTTTAGCCTAGCGATTTTCAACCAGTGTGCTGCCAAGAATTCTTAAAACATGCAAAACCTGACTATTTGGTCAGGGGCCCTGATCTCTTTTCCCCTAGATTGCCAAATAAAAAAATTACAACAACCAACACAACAATAACTGTCCAGTGTGAATGAATCAAAATTATACCTTTTTTTTTCAGATGGGCAAAAAAAAATTTTTTTGGTGTTCTGCAGAATTTTAGTAATTAGTTTATGTGTGCCATGAGATGAAAAAGGTTGAAAATCACAGCTCCAGTGGCTTCTCAACTCAGAGTCAAAGTCAAGGCCTTACAAGATCTGGCCCTAGTTATCTTTCACACCTCTATGTAGCATGACCAAATGAGTTATGTTACAAACCAGGATACTTCCAAGGGAATTTAAGGGGAAAAATGGGGAGGGATTTTGAGGAACAAGTATGAAAGACACAGGGATGAGGACTGGGGGGGGGGGAATGGGAGGTAGGTGGGGAGACAGGGAAGGGGGGCTGGGATGGGAGAAATAGACAAAAAACTGTTCTTGAAAAATAACTAAATAAAATTTAAAAAAAAAAAAAACCAGGACACTTCCAAGAAGTGAAAGACCTGAATGAGAGACTGGGATAATGGGGTAAAACTGGGACTAACAGATGCAAACTGGGACATATGGTCACAGTTTTCCTCACTCTGCTGCAGCCACACTGGCTTCCTTGATGTCCCCGGAACATGACATACTCACCTCAGAGTCTTTGCATTGGCTATTTCCTCTGCCTGGAACATTCTTCCCCAAAGAAATCCACAAGACTTGCTCCCTCATTTTCTTCAGGTCCTAACTCAGTGACCTTTCTCTATGAAACCTTCCCTAGCCACCCTATTAAAATTGCAAAACAAATTTTCTCTATTCTGTGTGTGTATACACACACACACACACACAATATAGATGTGCACATATGTTCACACACAATACCTTTGTATTTTTATCTTCTATGAAACAGGAAAAAATAAGTCCTACAAAGCCTTGATCCATCATCTGGTACATGGCTTGGGTACGAACATCTGTAGATAAAAATAAAAATCTTAGTTTGCTTTTGTTTTAGGTGTGGTTCTTAATAACTGTGAGTTTGCTGTCCTTTCACTGTTCATCTTTTTTACCTTCTCCTTCTTAGGTAAGTCCCTTTAACATTTCATATAATAAGGGCTTGGTGATGATGAACTCCTTGAATTTGATCTTATCTGAGAAGCACTTTATCTGCCCTTCCATTCTAAATGAAAGCTTTGCTGGATAGATCAATCTTGGATGTAGGTCTTTGGATTTCATGACTTGGAATACTTCTTTCCAGCCCCTTCTTGCCTGTAACATCAGGAGCAGAACCATAGAAATGAAGATCACATGGAGGGTTAGCAACAGGGGAGTTGGAGAAGGAGAAGGGGGGAGAAGGTATAGAAAATAAGTAGCATAGACAGTAGGTAGAAAATAGATAGGGGGAGGGTAAGAATAGTATGGGAAATATAGAATCTAAAGAACTTGAGACACGTGGTCATAAACTAAAGGGGGAGAATGGTGGGGGAGGGGGTGTGCAGGGTGGAGGGGAATGAAGGGGGAAATAGAACAACTGTAATGGCAAAATCAATAAAATATATTTTTATAAATAAAATAAAATAAAAATCTGCTGTCAATAAACTGTGTGGTATGTAATCATCCCAGGATTCAGATTCTTTAGGCAAAAAAGAGATATATTCTCAAGACAATATGATTGTCAAAACATAAATATTTTATAGGTTAGATAAATACTATAGGAGGCCTGCAATTAAGTGAGAAAACTTATTAACAACTGTAGATTGCCTAGCCCAACACTAGGCATTTCATAGTTCTGCTATGAAATGTAGTGTAGAAAATGAAAAATGGAAAACTTCAATTAGCCCCCAAAACTCAATAATTTTTCATAGGGGACTCAAAGGGAAAGGAAGGTATGGAAAGGAAACCAAAAGATTTCCTGGGATAAACTTTTTGATGGACAGCTTCTAGGGAAGTAAATACATTAGACTTGATACTAAAGAATGAAGTGTAGAACTATTACAGAGGAAATTCTTAAGAAGAAACCACTGTATGAAAGTGATTGCAATAGAATTAAATTCAACATTCCAAGGGGTAGAAACAAAATTTCAAAATATGTTTATGCAATTTTTGCAAAGGAAATCATAAACGGGCACCAAATAACAACATTTGAAAGGATTAACTAAAAGATTAGGAAAGACTAAACAGAAGCAAAATACAAAGATCTGAAGTCTTCAGACCATTGTTAATATGAAGGATATAAAAGATCAGGTATCATAACAAAACACTGCAGTGCACGGTTTGGTCCAGCGACTTATGCTCACTTTGTTTGGCAACATGTCCTTAAACATTCTTTGGCACTTACAAGCCTTTGATCTGGATTGGGACATCTCCCTGGTGTCTTCCTAAGTAAAGAGTGAGACCAAACAGTACCTAGCAATGAATATGAAGGAAATACTGAAAACCGTTGCTGAAAATAAAAAGCATTGTATGAACGATCTCCGTAGTATAACCTTGGTAAAAATCTTAATACCTACTGTCACAGGGTTTTGTATTTTAAAAATTGCAAGATTTTTAGCACAATGCCTAGCACATCAAAGGTACTTTGTAAGCATTCTTTCCATTCATCCTCACTGTTGAAGAATTACTATCTGAGTCTGAAAAAGATTACTGTCCACACCATTCCACCCAAATCGCTTTTGGCAAGATCACCAATGATCTATTCTTGCTCCTCAATTTGGCTGATTGCCTCCCCCCCGAAACTGTTTTCACTTGGCCTCACACTCCTACTCTTCCCACGGATCCTAACTTCCTTGCTAATCTTTCCCAGTCTCTGTTGCTGGATCCTTCCCCTCTTCCCACTCTGGAAATATTGGCATACCAAGGACTATGTCTTCAGTCCTTCTCTCTTCTCTAGCTCTATTCACTCCCTGGCGGATTTCATCCAGTTCCATGGCTTCATACCTCATCTCTACACCAGCCACTCCCAACTCATACCCAATAAACTCTAGTTCCAAACCTCTACCCCCACACTCCAGAATTGTATATCAATTATCTACCTGACAATTTGACTTGGTTGTCTGAATATAGTGATACATAGAATAGCTTGTCCATGAACTATTTGTTACCTGTTCACAAGGAGACAAGAGCCTGAGCTGGCATGCATATTCATGCACCGCTTCCTTCACTGATAGTCTTAAGGGAAAAAATGACACTATGTGCTTAGTGTCACAGATGATTTATGTTCAGTATTAAGCTCCTTATCTCATTGATCACAGACAGTTCATGAACCAATGCCAGCCTAGTGAGTATCGCTTGCCTAACAGACATCTGAAACTCAACATGTCCAAAAGCAAATGCTTGATTTCCCCCACAAAACTCTAATGCCTCCCAAAGCTTCCCCATCTTAATCAGCAGCAACTCCATCCTTCTAGGTGTGCAAGCTAAAAAAACACTTGTGCACATTTTTTATTCCTGTCGCTCTCATCCCCTATAACCAATTCATCACCCTGTGAGTTCTACCTTCAAGACATAATCAGAATTTGCTCACTTCTTACCACCACCTCAACTACTACCAGGATTCAACAAAGCCACCACCACTTCTTTTTTTTTTTAATTTTTATTTAATTATTTTTCAAGTACATTTTTTGTCTATTTCTCCCATCCCAGCCCCCCCTGCCCTGTCTCCCCACCTCCCTCCCATTTTCCCCTCCCCAATTCTCCCCTTAAATTCCCTTCCCTCTCCCCTCTGGTCGCTGCCCACTTGTTCTCTATTTCAGTGTCTTTGTTTTTATTCTGTTTGCTTGTTTGTTTTATTGTTTAGCTTCCTGTCAAAGGTGAGATCATATGGTATTTGTCCTTCAATGCCTGGCCTATTTCACTCAGCATAATGCTTTCCAGTTCCTGGATCACTGCAACAGCCTGCCATCAACCCACAGTCTGTTCTCAACCCTGTATCCAGCAATCCTTCCAAAAGTTAAGCCAAATCATGCCATGTCTCTGCTGAAAACTCTATAATGGCTCCCAATCACACTTAAGAGTAAAAGTTTGAAATTCACAGTGGCCTACGATTGCCTACATATTTCCTGGTGTACCCATTACCACCTTGTCCTCATTTTCTACCACTCTGCCTCTTTGTCAGTCAGCTCCGCCACACTGGTCTCCTTGCGTTTCCTCCTACACTCCAGGCACTCCTCCTCAGGGGCCTTCACACACCGGCTATGCCTCTCTGACTGCAACAGTCTTCCCCCACATATTTGCATGGCCGACTCCCTCACTTCCTTCATATTTTTGCTCAGCTGTTAACCTCTCCATAAGACTTAATCATATTACTTAAAATGTAAACCTCACCCCCACCCCACAGGCACATCTTATGCTCCTTACCCTGCTTTACATTATTTTCCTCAGATATCTTAATTACTTATAACCGACCTAAATGCTAAATCCATAAGATATAGTTTATTCTAACTATATTATATTTTGCAACTGCATTGTCCAGTTTTTCTTTCATCATTAGAACAGATCATTATTTCATCAGTTGAATACCATACACTGCAGTTCATTTGCATTGAGGGACAACATTGTATGAAAAATATTTGTTTGTGCCCTGGCTGGTGTAGCTCAGTGGATTGAGCGCGGGCCTGCGAACCAGACAATCACAGTTCGAATCCCAGTCAGGGCACATACCGGGGTTGCAGGCAGGTTCCCTGCAGGCCAGTTCCCAGCAGGGGACGCACGAAAGGCAACCATACATTGATGTTTCTCTCCCTCTCTCCTTCCCTTCCCCTCTAAAGATAAATAAATAAAATTTTAAAAAATATATTTGTTTGTAAACACTAGAGACACATTCTGAGAGGAGATGTTCACACTTATGAGAAGTACAGGACAGTGAAACAGTCTAAAGGGACAAAAGAATCACACTTCCTATTTCCTGGTATGAAAGTAGAATAGTATAAACGCAGTATCTTTTCATTTACTCATGACTAAAAATTTTCCTAAAACAGAAACCACAGGCCACACAGTTGACAATAAAGAATTTTAAAAGAATGGGAGACAATATACGCAAATGCTATAAAAATACAAACCTATTCCCTGGGTGGTGTGGCTCAAAGGATTGAGTGCTGGCCTGCACACCAAAGGGTCATTGGTTCAATTCCCAGTCAGGGCACATGCCTGGGTTGCAGGCCAGGTCCCCAGTAGGAGGCACACAAGAAGCAACCACACATTGATGTTTCTCTCCCTCTCTTTCTCCCTCCTTTCCCCTCTCTAAAAATAAGTAAATAAAATCTTTAAAAAATACAAACCCTGAAGCCCTGGCTGGGTAGCTCAGTTGGTTAGAGCACCATCCTAATGTGTCAAGGTTCTGGATTCGATCTCCTATCAGGACACATACAAGAAGCAACCAATGAATGCACAAATACGTAGAACAACAAATCGATGTTTTGCTTTCTCTCTCTCTAAAAAAATCAATAAATATAAAAATACAAGCCCTGAGGTAGCCATTTTATTACAGTAAAATTATAGTTTAGCCTTCACTTATTCTATACTTAATCCTAATAGAGTTTCCACCTAATCCTGTTTGCTAAGAAAGGCATTACAAATGTATTATAATATCAAAAAATGTTTATAATAATTCTAAGGAGTACTGACTTGTAACCTCTAGAAGAGAATGCTTGTTTGGGAAAAATGAATTTGTTAAAATGACTGAACCACACTGCTTAATTGAAGTTGCAGCCTGTATCTGTCTGTCATGGGAGGCTGATCTGACCCACCAACTCTGGTGATAAACTAAGTCACTGCCTCACTGTTTATAGCTGTGCCTATTATCTGACTCTGTATGAAAGAATTTAGCAGGTCTCAAAATTAGGAACAGCGTGAATTATAAGAGTAATTTTTAAATAGTGTCAAGTCTTGTGAGATTTATGAAACAGCCTGCATTATTTGAATCACCTTCCTTTTACTTTTGCAAACCATGGATAGGTAAAATTCAGGTAAGTTAACT